CTCCAATGATTGTATGAATTAATATCAACGACGTAAACCGAATGGTTAGCCAGCAGGCAGTAGTACGGATCCTGAGGGTTAGGCGTTCAAAAATTGCCCCGCGGTAAGGCATGACAGCTGTAAAAGGCGACTAAAATCCAAAACTCCACGCAACAGCGAGGTATATATGTTGGAACGACCCGGATTTTTAATCGACCAATGACTGCACCTCCCGCAACATTCACCAGAAACTACCTTGAAGATTCTTTTACAATAACAACCATAGACAGAAGTCCAGTTATCAGTTATTTTTCATGCGTAGGAAGTGCCACGATGTCATTAAAGCATCATTAAAAGAGATGGCAGCGATGGCTAATTTCGAAGCTGCCTTGTAATGAACTCAACTGGATTTCCAAGCTAACATTGTTGTTGTTGTTAATACTGTTTCCATGATATACGAAATTATCTACGACTTCAAAGTTATGACTGTAAAAGCTGACGTTGGAGCCGAGTCGCTATTGCGATGACTGTTTGTTAGATAACAAGAGATATTTCGTCTTGCCCTCGTTCACTGCCAAATCTATTCGCTTCGCTTTTTTATCAAGTCTAGCGAAAGTTCACACTCAATATGTTACGCAATACGCTTGAAATCATCTAGCATGCGATATTGAATCAGAAATCAGTCGCTAGATCACCTCTTTGGATACTCCAAGGGCTTGCTCTAATCTTAAATCGTCGTAGCTAATCGTAGAATTTTCTAGCACTACCCTAATCGTTGCGAGTTAGGCAGCCTGTTTTCTCTCCACTGCAGTATCACAATTCTCATCGTACTAGCTGTGCTTTCGACCTTTCTGAAAACCCATAGTTTCGTTTGCGGCTGTGAGTAAGGAGCTTAAAATTTCGTCACACATTTCCCCCATACCGAGATACTGAGTACTGACCTCAAAAAACAGGTGTACAAGTCAAGAGGAAAATCATTCGACTGTTTGTTTTGTTTGTTAACGGACGTTCTTTGCCGCACTAGAGCGGATGTGCATCATTGCTGCTATAAGATGTTGTTTTTTAGTACTCATTCGTAATCTTTGTCCTTTTTTATCTTCTCTACATAATCGCCAATGTTTTCAACGCATTTCTTAAGCCTATAGATCCACTTACGAAAGCAGTCTTCAAAATCTTGCCTTTTAAATTTGCCAAGTTTAGCATTAGCCGCATTAATTATCTCTTCGATGCTATTAAAGACCTTTCCGATATTAGATCGGGTGAAGTAAACTGACCTCATTACCTTTGCTGCTGATTTTTGTTGCTTAGATTTTACGGGTCGGCTTGTTCCGGTTGGGCTCCATACCATGGACTGCTGTTTTTGGATCCTACTTATAGAATCAAGATTCGTCACCAATAACGACTTAATTAAAGTTGCTAGACTGATCATTTGCGAATTTTTTTAAGAAAAATTGAGCAAGAAAAACTCGAGCCAATTTAGGGGCCTCATTTAAAATTCGTAGTACCCATCGAGCAGATTTCTTCGTGTAGCCCAGATGATTGCTTAATATTCGCGATACAGCCATGGCATTCAAGCCCAACTCATTAGCAATCCTTTCTTGTGTCAAGCGTGGGTCTTTGTCAAGGTTAGACTTCACCCCCTTTATTTCAAATGCAATGAAACGCCTTCTATGCAATTTTGAGATTTCAGCGGTTCGATGACAGAAGTTAACGAATTCAACGTTTAGGTGTGAACCAGAGAACTTATAATAACGAGAAGGGGCAAATTCGTTACAACATCGAACCTCCTTCAAACAATTTCTGAAAACCTTTGGGACACATTGGCTCTCATTTCACCTGGAAACTCGTAAATAAGAAAGGGAAATACAACAAGAAGCAGCTCCATTAATAATATTCAATCCAGAGGAAAATGTCAAATAAGATTGTGTGCAGGCAATAAAACAAGACAAACTTGTGTGATTTGTAAAAAATTTGTTTGCGGGAGATGTGCGAAGGAGAAACCCATCCTATGTATAATGCAAAGTTGAAATTTACAAATGTGCACCCCAGTTTAGTTAAGTTTTAACTAAATCTTTAAAAACTATTGAAAAGGGCCTTCTTGAACTCGAGAATTTATTTAAATTCTGCTGCTCGTTGACCTGGTAATACAAATATGCTGGTTTATTGTTGTTGTAATAGTTTTTGGTTGGTTGCCGGAATCAGTGCAAATGCGGATGTGAACGGGTCCAAGGCGTAGTCCAGGGGTCGTCGACAAATCGGCAATGTCGGTCCAGCAGAACAATTTCAGAAATTTCCCCCTCTTGGCAGCTAACAATAAAACGGCCTGTCGAGCATTAAAAGCCACACACCCGCTTAGTTAAGCTCTTAAGCATTTCCAATGTAGAGGATGATTTGGCACAGTACTCGTCGATAGCCTGCAATTGAGCGCTTCCGATCGATTGCTAACAAAGTAAGAAGACAACACCATCTATCAATTTGAGGCTCACAGAAAAACGCCAACATTTTCCAGCACTCGAAAAACACTCTGAGTGGATCTAGGGCTTTGAGATAATTAAGTTTAACAGTTTAAAGTTGGGGCAAAGTCAAGTTTGGTTGAAATAAAACCAAAACTAGAGACTGCTTGCGTTCAAACAGATGGACAGCCCGAGATGGCTAGATCAACTTCACTCGTCGTTCTAATCAGTTTTATACAAAATTTTGGTGGGTCTCTCTTCTTTCTCTAGTACTTATTACGTACTTAAGGCAAAAGCGAATATATCCTTTCATGTTAATGAAAGGTATAAGAACAAGTGAATGTTGTATGTTGCTTACATATAGATATTCACATAACAAGCCCTTAAATTTAGTCTTATACAAATGTCGAATTTTTTTTTATAAATATTTCACGAGAGTTATAAATGGAAAAAAATGCTAAACGGCATTGGTCACGAACCCAGCAATACATCACATTTGACATAGGCGTAAAAAGGGAGATTATTACGAACGGAACCGAACGTTGATACCCTATTCTTTCGCTAGCATAGCGAACGATAAACGTACTCACACATTTTGATTGAATTGGTGATTAATATTAATAGTCTGAATATGTTATAAGTGATGTTCATAGTAATCCTACAAAGATTATTCCACTTATTTGTGAAATGAGTTTTTCGGGAAGGATGAGTCTTTGTCTTATCCAAAGGGGCATAAATTTGTCTCAAGTAGGGTATTATTAGAAATCCAATAATCTTTGTCGCCCTACCGCCAGTTCTTTCAAGTGTGGTTGCATACCAATAAAATTCAGAAAAATTGATAACAAAGCCTTGACTCGTATGAGACGTTTTGGGCCAGTAAAGGATATGCTGTGGAGCTTTAACTTTAAAATTTATGCCAAAATGATAAGAATTGTGAAGAGAATTGGTGCCCTGCAGGGGAAAACCAACTAGTGTGCAAAAATTCTAGTTAAATACTAGTATGTTGAAGATGAAATTATACCAGTTCGTTATTTGTGAAGAAGTCCACCAATAAGAGGAGAAAAAACAACTTCCACCACTTTGTTGTTTTTATATCGACAGACCGCAGCTGAATTCTATTTTCTGGTCTGTTCTATAGAAATGTGCAAAATTACATTAATCGTTGCATCGTCATAATAGCGTCGTCGCTGTAGGGCGTTAAGCCCCTGGCTCATGTCCCGCTAGAGGCATATTATTTCTCAAGTTGTATTTTGGTGAAGGGCGCAGATTTCGTGTCTACAATAACGAAAGTCTGGTGGTTAGAGGTCTTCACTATGGTGTGCTAGGTTGTCAGTTCAATTCTCGCAGCCGACAAACTGAATTTTATTTGATTTAGTTATTATTTTCTTTGGTGAAGTAGAAATTCAACATGCCTGAATGAACTAGGATTAAACTAGTATGAAGGTGATGCATAATAGGACAATTGTCAGCTCGTAGGACATCGCCGTGTTAAAAATACCAGTTGCTTACATGGAAAATGGATGATGATGAACTACTTGGTGTAACAATGTAAACTAGTTGGATTCCAGTTGACAATTAGTATTTTCCCCTGCAGGGTTTCTAATGCACTGTGGAAAATAATTCTTGGGCTCGCACTAAAAGTTCTGTACAAAATTTTATTTTTTAGTTGGTTTTAAATGGAGGATAAGCGCTTCTCTGGTGCATAAACCAATTTGAGACACTAAATACCGTTATTACTTAGCGAAAAGTCACCTCGTGGTATATACTCGAACAAAATGGAACGATTCAGCCGATGCAAAGTGTCAATAGTCGCTTATTCTCAAAAATATTCCCGATACCTCACAATTTATGCTGTTACATACAGCAGTTAGCGGAACATTGTTAAGATACCCTGCATATGCTGTAGAGCCAGGTGGGAAAACAAACATTCGCACATGTCGACATGCATACAAAGTTTTATTTGACCAATACCATGCATTGGCCAGTGTCATTATGCATTTACGCATGCGTTGCATTGTAATCACGATATGTTTGATCGCCAAACCAGCTACTGATTCACATGAATATTGGCTACCGATTCGAAAATACGGCGCACATGCGCAATGAATTGCCGGGTTGGACTTCTTTCTGTTTACCTTGCGGCGCTGCAGCACTGCGGTGGCGTGGGCAGCAGTTCTCTTTGGCTGCGAACATACTTAGTTTCATTGCATGATGAATTGTTGTTGCTTATATGTATATACATTTGAGTAACAATTTACTATGCAGTTGTTTTAGTTAATCTGTCACATAAGTTTAGCTGGCGCTGGCGTAGACGTTGGCAGAGGTGCAGCAGCGGACGTGCAGCCTTGGCGTGCTGATCATGCATTCTTACCTCCTGAGTAATGCAATCAAATTTTAATTTTAAGAAGCGCACTTTGTCGTATTTGTATGTAAAAATTGTCGCACAAATAGCGCACGTAAGTAGGTTTTCGTTTTCATTATGCGTTTGATTATTTCGTTTCAATCTATTTTAATTTATTTACTTATTGGTTGAATGGCCGATTTGGTTCGTATAAAAGGCCCAGTTGGCCACTGCACAAACCAGTTCAATTCCATTTTCGGTATTTAGAGCAACCAACTAATCAACCACACCCAACAAAAATGGCATTCAAAGTAAGACATAAATGGCGGAAAGTATTTAATTGTAAACACCACAGAATCAGTATAAGTGGAAAGGATGTGATCCTTATTTAATGCGAATTTATATTCAGTGTTATCAAGGCGTGTTAACAACAATTTTCCATCTTAATTGCAGTTCATCGCCTTCTTCGCCCTCTGCATAGCTGCCGCCAGCGCTGGTGTTATCGTGCCCGGAGCTCCTTTGGCCGCTGTCGCTCCAGCACCTTTGGCAGTTGCCGCACGTGTTGAGGAATACGACCCACACCCCCAATACACCTACGGTTATGATGTGAAGGATGCTCTGTCCGGTGACTCGAAGACTGCTGTGGAAACCCGTGATGGTGACATTGTTCAAGGTCAATACTCTTTGAATGATGCTGATGGCTACCGTCGTATTGTTGACTACACCTCCGATCCAATCAACGGTTTTAACGCTGTTGTGCGCCGTGAACCTTTGGTTGCGCCCGTTGTTGCTGCCGCCCCAGTAGTAGCCGCACCCGCTCCAATAGTCAGAGCCGCTCCTCTGGCCGCGCCCGCACCACTCGTAGCTGCCGCTCCAGCTCCCCTTGTTGCCGGACCAGCAGTGGTGAAAACTCAATTCGCTTCTCCACTCATCTCTTACGCCTACTAGAAATGTTGGACTGAAATTTTGCCATTAGATTTTATTAATGAATAAAGCCGAAAATACCTACATACAAACAAAAATATTCGTCGTTTTCGTTTTTTATTTCAATTTTCGAAGTTTCCTTTGAAAAATGTGGCTTAAGTACATAGTACGTGTATGTAAGTTTGGAGAGTGCTCTGTGCGCAATCTATTGACTTAAAGTACCTCACTTTTGCATTTACCACAGAAGTTGTATTGGTTTCAAAGGATCTAAAATATTTCCTCAGAACTGCCATATTGGATTAAGTGAATTAAGGGTACTCATGGAACAAATTACGTTTAACGGAAACGTAGACAATTTTGGCCCTATACCAATCAATTTTGGTAAGTATTTATATCGCCATTTTGACTAAAATCGGGTTTAATTGATTTTATAATTGTTTTTTATTAATTATTTTAAATCACCACAAGAAAAATTATACCTTTGGAATAGAAGGGTTGTAATGTCTGTAATGCTTGAGATGTGAAGAACTTACAATTTTTTTTTTACCAAATTTTAATCAAAGTTTTAGGGGTATAAATAATTATCGTCCTCGAAGTGCTACGATTCTCTCTAATATTTTTGTTTAAATCTAATAAGCTTGATTAATATAAATTGTTGTATTGCTAATTGTCAAAATTCATACGATTTGGCAATTCAGTAATCGAGAGCATCGTGAATTCGACGGAAAAACTAAGTGAAAAGCGATGAGGATGATCAGCTGGGTTTGCCGATCCCTATCAAGGTCGGTCGCCAACAATTAGTTTTCTATGATTTTTGGTTTTGGTCGGGCATTTATACAGGAAAGATACTTTAGAACCGTAACTTTTCATTGAAAAAAAATATTTTTCTGAATTTGTTATATTTACGTTTGACCCAAAATCGATTGTTCAAATAAAATTAAAGTTAAAAATATAAATGTTTTTCGAAGTTACGATAAATGAGTGGAAAATTAATTGGATCCAGATATCCAATATGTATTAGGTCAAGTAAAAAGTCATTCATTATTTTTGCAATCAATTGAAATTTTTATTATGAGAATTTTCCGATTTAGGCCAAAAATGCACTCCTCTTCTTCTTTTGCTATTTTGAAGGTAACATCATTAAGTCTCTCTATCTTTCTGTATCTCTTGTCGAAAACTTGGGACCAAAGATAGGAGCATATGGTAATCACTTGGTGCGAAGTCCGGCTGCATAACAAGCTCTCGGAGCTTCTGGGAAATCACCATCGATGCGTGGGGTCTGGTTGTCTTGGTGAAACTCTTTATTTCATGAGAGCGCTAAAAATCTGATTTTTTTATAATATTTCTCAGCAGTGCCACTGTGACAGAAAGTTAAATTATTTGGATTTTTAAAGCGATTTTAGGTATTTTTTACGAACAACGTCGTTTTTAATTCCAATTTCACAACAATATTTTATTTTTATATATAATTCTATTAAGTTTTAACGTAAAAATTTCAATAACTTGCTAAATATTTCCTCGAAACAAAAACAATTAATTTTTTTTGTACAGCGTTTTGCCCAACAGCTATTGAATGTTTCAAAATCTGACACTGCTGCCAACATTAGAATGTGACATGGGTGAACGCTCCAAGCTGCAATTTGAGTGATTTTAAATAAGTTTCGTATCTAGTCATCTTTGAACCAATTGCTGAGAGTACAGATTTGAATCAAGAAATTCATCATATTGGAGCAGCTCATAGTGGCTGATTCCATGCAAATTCCACCAAACACACAACAAAATCTTCTTCGCTGGGAGGCCGTTTGTGACGGCTCGGCTCACTGCCCTTGGACATCGAACATTTTCATTTGAGGTTGCTGGTAGTAATCCACTTTTCATCACAAGTCACCATCTAAAAAAGAAATGGGTTCATTTTGCTGCGATTAACCAGCGATTCGATCCATGACGTTTTTTCTTGTTAACTCATGTAGCACCCATACATCGAGCCTCTTTTAAGCACACCTAATATTAACTTTACCATGAAAATATTAACAACTAAACTGCGTACACTGTTATATTGTTACTTGCCAAGCATGTGATCTATAGGACAATATAAAAAAACTCATAAAATTCAGAAAAATGCATGAAATCTTTATTTGAATTGATAGTACGGTCCATATAATTTAACGTTTGAGAGTATTTCATGCAAATGTTGACCTTGACTGCGCCTCGAATGGTCCATCCGCTTAGTCCAATTTTGAGATACTATTTCCAAATTTTCACTGTTGTTCTCCAATGCGTCAATTGAAGCGGGCTTGTCTGTATAGACATTAGATCTGACATAGTCCCACAAGAAATAGTCAAAAGGCGTTAAATCGAATGATCTAGGTAGGCTAATTGACCGGTACCGAATGTGAAATAAAATCTTCAACGAGCTCGACTCTCAATAAGTCCATTGTTATGCGTGCTGTGTGGCACCGTCTCATTAAAGCCACATGCCATGCAAGTGAAGTTCTTGCATTTTGGGCAAAAAGAGTTTGATATCATCTCACGGTTCACAGTTACGTTATGATTCGTATCATCTTTGAAGAAGTATGAGCCAATGATGCCACCAGCCCATAAACCGCACCCAACTGTGACTTTTTCTGGATGCATTGGTAGCTTTTGCAATGCTTCAGGCTGATCTTCACTCCAAAATCGACAGTTCTGCTTATTTACGCACCCATTAAGCCAAAAATCATCCTGAAAACATTTTTTTAACTTTCTTAACAGAGCAGGCACTTTAATAGTTGTTCGTTTGTAAGACGATTCATGGTTAAATAATAGACCAAACTAAAGAGTTTGACAGTGATATAAAACATGAAACGTGCGTCAGCTGTTTAAACCAGCGTTGCCAAAAAGATAATTGCTAAAAAATCACCCTTTATTATAAAGAAAACAATGAAATCACAGGCGTTACCTTACATAATAATTGAATACTTATATTTAATATAGTAAATATTTATTATACAATACTTTAATCAATTATTTTAAAATTAAAATATTCAATAATTTCCATTCACTGAGTCAGTAAATAGATATGCATACATATATACATATATATGTATGTACACGTATGTATACAAAGCTGTTCACTTTAAAGTATTTTAGATTGCTTTGCCAATAAAGTGGTTTAATCTTTTTTTTGTGGATAGCAAATTTTACTAAAATAAAAAAAATTAAATGTTGAATTTTGACACAATATTAATTAATCTATATTTTTCTAGTAAGTAAGTCAAAGCCGCAGGGAAATTATCCGCTGAAACAATAGATTCTTATTTTTTCCATTTATCTTTTTTCTAGTCCTTTCTCTGCTTTTCGAAATCCTTTTATGAATAAAATCATCTGGAATATTGCAATGGTCTTACTGGGTTTCTTTGAGAACCGTGTTTTTCGGAAGAACCTTAAGAGATATACATATGTATGCATACATCTCATATATATATAAAATATTTATGAGTCCTGGAGCTTGGGGTTAAACTTTGGATTATATAATTGTCGCTTTGTAACCGCTGAAGCGATTTTCCGCCGAGTTCTCCCTCCGATTTGTGGTTTTGCGTCTTGATGGTTTTCCAACAAATTGAGGGGTCTAGAGTTTATAGTAAGCCGCCTCCGAACGACTGATGGTTTTTTTTAAGAGGAGCCTTTATTTCATGTCAGAAATACACTCGAAGGGTATGACATTCCCTGCCGAGGACGACTGCAATTAGAAAATTTAGCTTAATTTTTTATTTAAATTCATTTTCTATAACTTTTGGATGTTGGTCTCGCACGGGGATTTGAACCCGGAGTAGTTCATTGTGGGAAAGAATGCTCAATAATATTATATTTAATAAGAGCAAAATCCGTAATGCTGTATAAAACTTATTAATTAATTCATTAAACTCTGAAATAATTTAATTTAGATGATTTATCATTTCAAAAGATCAGTGATATTCAGTAATGCTGCTTTAGTCACCATTTGCTTTGGACAAGCATTTAGCGCATTTTCATCGATTTGTAAGAAAAAGTAAATATTTGTTAAGAATGGAGTAAAATTCATTGGTTGTGTGCATACATACATGTAGTGTAAGCTCTCTATTAACTTGTGTCACCTGCCAAAAGGTCTAGAGTTCCACGCTTCCTACACTCTGCCCAAAGTTCATCGCAATTTTTTCATTTTTTTGTCCAGACTTAGTTTTTACATCATTCCACAAGCTTTCGATTGGGTTCAGGAGGGGGTTTTGAGCTGGTCAATCAAGAATTGAAATTATTTTCTTGGGACAGTTGCTTTTCAACCACTTTTGCTATGTGTTTGGGTGCATAAAGATACAGTGCCATATTTTCGAAGGAATGTGACCCCAAAGTACGTGAAGATATACAAATTCATCCATATTTTCTTCTATTCTTGCCATTGAAAAGATCTCCAAACTTGTAATTTTTCTCGCGATGTGAATACTATTCACCATCAAGTTTGTGGCTTCATCCGCGAAAATAATCCTTTTCCAAAATTTTAAGCCTTTCTATGAATAAGTGCAAATGACAAACGTGCGTTAAGAATTTTTTTCTACAGAAGAGGTTTTTGTCTGCTGACTTGCCCATACAAATTATTTTCGTTCAGACGTCTTCGCACTAGTCTACTTCACACATTTATTCCCAATTCCAAGTTGACTTTGGCCATTTTGCGCGTGAAGATTTAAGAGGATCTGATTTACTATTCCTAACAATTATTTTATCCTCGCTTTACTTGGCTTGTATCTTTTCTGTAAAGACCATTTCGTTAAATTATATAAAAATAATGTTTATTTCTTCATTAAAAATTGCAATAGTTTGTCCACCTTATGGAACTTGGATTAGCAAAAATATTAGTTCCTTCCTCTTTCTAGCTGCCTTTGACCGATACACAAGTGCAAGCATACAAGCATACACCCATATGTTATATGTATGTAAAGATTTTTAAACGTTTGCCGCGACGCGCGAATAAATCGGTAGCCTTCATTCGTTTTTAGTCCAACCTCCAGCCACGAACATGCATTCATACAAATGTCACGTGTAGCTGAAAAAGTTAAGTAAAGCACATACATATGTGTATGTATGTACT